CCTGTTTTCAGGCTTTCGGGCTGAACAGTCACGGGGCCTGTAGGCCCTGGTTTTCAGGCTTTAAGCCTGAATTTCAGGCTTTCAGCCTGAGGGACGCAGGGCCTGGAAAATGGCCCTCGTGTGCAGGCGCAGCATGTAACAGCAGAGCACCGGGAAACTAACAGTCGCTAACTAAAGTACCCAGTCCTATCCCGTCTATCCTTGATCAATGAAGATCCTAAGTCCAAATCTTGCTACTTCCATTGGTCCTCAATGCCTCCTCATAAGTGAGAGCACAGGAAACGACAATTACGAAAAAAAAAGTAAAAGAAATCCTCATAAAAGAAAATTTAAACCACATAAAGCACGAATTCATGGGGAGCAACACGTGCTGGGAACCGGGCCCAGCGTCCCACATGAAACTTTTGAAGAACAGTTTAAGGTACCAGGGCCCCATTACCCTGCTTCGGATGACAAAAAGAACTCCATGATCTGAGAATTTCTAAAACATACCATCCAGAATCGTACACCTCTCATGAGGCTCATGGAGACTTACCCAGAGCTAAATGAACTGAAAGCAGACTACCCACATAGTATTACTGTCTAGCAGGTCTTCCAACCCCTGCCTCACTCCACTTGTTCTCAGACCAAGACTCAACCAGGCCTCACGCCCACCACTAAGTCACAGGGCAGCACGACCCACCCCAGCTCCAGCCAGCGTCGCAGCATCCCCCTGTTGGAGTTCCCGGATGACCACTGGAATTGCCTTCCAGCCTCGACAAAACTCCCCAAATCTCTCTACCAGTCACTGTGACCACAGTTACTCCGCGCTCGATGCAACTCTCACCCTTGTCGACTTCACCCTTTTCGTCCTCACTTCGTTGAACTTTGCATATTACTCGAACGAGGCCGGTGCCTTGACGATTCTCTGCCATATCCCAATATTCACCCGCCATCATGTCGAGTGCCACGCATTCAGCGGCCATCAAGTCATCGGCAGAGAACTTCACTTCCTCCTCTCATCCCTCCGTGTAGTAGATACCCCCGTCTTCACCCGAATAGAATGCCCGGTCATTTTTGCCGTAAAAGTTGCACCAAATACAGCTATAACGACTGGGCGTTCTATCCGGGTGACGACGGTAGTCTTTTAGTCCACAACTGTCGACTGCCTCAACCGTGTTCCAGACCGACCGTCATCCACACATGATGAAACATCATAAGCAGGGCATAATACTCATCCTCCTACAAAGAATCGCCGCCTTCATCATCGCCACCGAAAGCCCTGCCGCCAAACTGCACGATTGCCAAATTCCTTCCCCTTTCCCCCCTCAACATCTCTTCGTTCATGAACATCATTGCCTCTCAACCGACCAACATTGCATGCCCCTTTCAGGAAACTCTCCCTCAGTGAGGGCCTCGGTTGCGTGGCAGTGTCGCGCCTTACTAAGCCGCATTAATGGCATTGTCATCTCTTGTTGTCCTTCTTTGGGTCCCCGACGAAACCCAAAGTCGTCGAAGCGTTTCGCCACAGAGACAGAGGTTACCGTATTCTTTGGCATTGTGCAGGAACGACAAACGGGTGCAATAGAAAGGCGAGTGAAGTCAATGTATGAGTCGTCCTTTGGGGCCCCCTCTTCTTACACCTAGTACCCATCTCCCCCAACCCCACCCTTCCACTCACATGGTTCCATCTATTCATCGATTGATGCCCTCGTGAAATCATAGATTAATTGATTGATTGATTGATTGCAGGTCTGGGACAGGGTTGCCGAGGTCCATGACACAACTGCACAGGTCTGAGATAGGGCTGCACATGTTTGGGACAGGGTTGTACTAGTCTGGGCCAAGGTTGCTGAGCCCTGGCCTAGGGCTCCAGAAGACTGGGCGAGGGCTGCACAAGTTTGGGACAGGGCTGCACAGGTCCGGGACAGGGTTGCATAAGTCTGGAACATGGCTGCACAGGTCTAGGACAGGGCTGCACAAGTCTGGGGTAGGGCTGCACAGGTCTGGGACAGGGCTGCAAAAGTCTGGGACAAGCCTGTGAAGGTATGGGGCGAAGCTGCAGAATTCTGGAACAAAGCTGCATAGGTCTAGGACATACTTGCACAGGTCTGGAGCAGGGCTCCACAAGTCTGGGACAGGGCTGAACAGGTCTAGGACAGGGCTGAACAGTTCCGGGACAGGGCTCGACAGGTCTGGGACATGGCTGCATAGTTCTGCTACAAGGCTGTGGAGTTATGGGACAGGGTTGACAGGCCTGCATAGGTCTAGGACAGGGCTGCACAGGTCTGGAGCAGGGCTGCACAAGTCTTGGACAGGGCTGCACAGGTCTGGGGCAAGGCTGCAGAAGTATGGGACAGAACTGCAGAGGTCTGGGACAAGGCTGCTTGGTCTGGGGCAGGGCTGAACAGGTCTGGGACAAGGCTGCACACGTCTGGGGCAGGGCTGCACAGGTCTGGGACAGGGCTGCACAGGCCTGGGACAGGCTTGTGCAGGTTTGAACAGGGCTGACTAGGCTGCACAGGCATGGGACAGCCGTGCACAGGTCCAACACAAGCCTGCACAGGTATGGGGAAGCAAAGAATGAGGACACATGATGAGGGCAAAGGACGAGATGGTCCGGTCGTCAGCTGGCTCGTGTACCTCCCCTGGTTTGCAATGTGAACGATTGCCAGTGCAAGAGGGACCTCGACTGCGAAAGACCAACCCAAGGATGTATTTAGTACCTGCTGAGAGAGAGAGAGAGAGAGAGAGAGAGAGAGAGAGAGAGAGAGAGAGAGAGAGAGAGAGAGAGAGAGAGAGAGAGAGAGAGAGAGAGAG